TTGCACTGACTACTTAGGCCTAGTCATATTATGCTTCATCGTCCCCCGCTAACACAGTACATCAGTAGCCACCCCCCCCCCCCACCAAGCTACTACAGTACAGACTTTTGCTAGGCAACAGAACGTGATTGCACCTTTCTTACCAGGTGTTCATGTAAATTTGCATAGGCCTATTGTTAGCTAACCAGCTGAGTGTATTCCTTTGTGAAAATGAGTACCGCGGGCCGTGGCGTACTCATTTTCACATAGCATTTGCATCCCCTCTTGAAAAGAGGGAACTTCGTAATAGTTGTCACCATATCTTCGCTAATTATTCACCGTAATTTAGCTTACACTTATGCATTGAGGGAGCACTTAAAATGTACAATAATCATTTCACGACCCAACAAACCCCGAACTTTACTCATGCATTACATAGTTTCATGTTGCTGTACTCCAACATTACTGGCGCATGGTAAAAACCAACTGACTGCAGGCAGACCATTTCCGGTCACCTCCAACGCAGCACCCCCTAGTTCCGTCACATCTGGATGCCATTACTGGCCTTAAAGGCCAGTACGGCCATTACTGGCCGTAAAGTCCTTAAAGACATGATACAAGATATCAAATCAATACGTATAAAAAAAAACCAGTTTCAAAAAATTACAAAAATATTGCCCTCTTTAAACTGAGCACGAAAGCAGGTATGTGCAACCTTCGTCCAATTTTGACAAAGGATTTTTTGTACATTGATAGCCAAAAAGATGAAATACATAATTAGTAAAATTTGAGATAGCAGGTATAATAATAATCTAGCCTATCTTCTTACAGTATATATAGTATGGTTGTTGCTATCCTTTCCATAAACTGTCCACTTGATACCAATACGCTTATTTCATGATGGATTATTATGATTACTGTATACAGTAGATTGCACAAATTGATGTTTAATATTTTGTTGCAGATTTATCTCACAATGTAACACTTACTAACTTTAACTTTGTTATCTCAATAAATATATCTGTGTTGTTGGTCTTACTTGTGCTTTTCTTTGTTTTTGTATTGTATTATGCAGTCCTTGTATTGAGGTTTGGGTACTATAACATATATTTACAGTAGTAGCAACAATAGCATCTTTATAATATGAATTATGAAACGACCGGATTCAAAACTGATCTTCTCCTGTCTGAGACGCCCTTATATTAAACAACCGAGAACAATTTTTCAATTTCCCTCTGTAAGAAGTATTGAAACATGTAATGTAATGAAACATAGTAATGAAACATATATACATATATATATAAATGAAGTAATAAAGTAATTAAATATATATATATATATATATATATCATGTTTCATTACTTCTTACAGAGGGAAATTGAAAAATTATTCTCGGTTGTTTAAGGGCGTCTCAGACAGCGAAGGTCAGTTTTGAATCCGGTTAGAGCAGGGAGTTGTTATACTACAACTCCCTGGTCGGAGCAACTGTTTTCAGACTCGTCAATTCCACAGAAGGTGTTGGTTATAAGGCATAGGCCCTTCAACAGAAAATGGAAATGCGAAGCTAGCAAAATAAACGTTATATGAAATGATTTTTAACTACTTTAGCGTAATTTCTTTGCATTGAAATGTTCCAATGGGGATACTGGGGAGTAAAATTTTGTTGCCCACCGCTTAGATGTCACTCAGAATAAAGGCAAATTCAGACCAGTTTAATCTATTTTGGGATGTTATTTATTTATTTTTTTATGTTATTGTTTTTTTATATTCAGTCACCCGAAACAAGGCCAAGGGCCACTCAAGGTAAGGGGTTGGGATAGTTTAAAAGAAAGCGGTTGACACAAGATTTAAACTTTGCAAGATGAAAGGAAATTAGAAGACAATCTGCAGACAATGAATTCTAAAGAGAAGCCGAACGACAAACAAATGAGTTTGAAAAAGTGGAAGTTTAGGAAGTTCAAGAGTGAACGGATGACAAATCGAAGCCAGTCTGGTGTTTCTGGAAAACCTACGAACAGATGGAAGTTGAAAAATCTCCCCAGAGCAGAGCAATGACGATTAAAATAACGCCAGAGTAAATTGAGATAAGCAACATTGCGCCGATGACCCAGACATTCCAACCTACAACCAAGCTCTGGTCCGATCAGATGGACAACTCGACGTTGGATTTTGTCAAGAAGAGAAAGATGATAGGCGGGACCAAACATGGTCTGGAGCTTCAACTTTGTAGGTGTGAACATTGTTAATTCAGGAGAAATACAATTTTGTGTATGAGGTGGCAAAGCATCCTTGCAAACATGCCATTTTAAAAGTTACAGAATGGACGAACTTAGAGAAAAAACCACGCCCACTTCTGTCTCCTTGGGGACATGCCCCACCCGGGCAAATCCTGGCGCCACCTCTGTTGTTGTTTTGTTCCACTGTCTATTTGCTCCCATTAATTGTCGGTGATTTAGGCCTAGACCTACATGCTTTATTTTAGTGCTGGCCCAATAGGCACCTAAAAGTGAAGTTTTTCTACTTTCTTCTCTCTTACTCACTCCCCCGAAGTTTGCCGTCTCCTTTCCTGCCATCTCCTCGTAGGAAAAATTTGGCAACCTGAGTTTTCACTCCTGTTTTTTTCCCGGTCTGTGGAATTAAATTGGAATCTTAATTTATTTATTTTTACATTTTCATAGGCCTATATATTTTTTAAGGTGATTTACTTTTACAGTGGTGGATCTATAATTTTTTCCAGGGTAGCGGGTTGGTTGCGCAGATGCGGCACCAGGATTTGCCCGTTGACATGGGGCGGAGATCCCCAGTGGGGGATCTTGTCCCCGATGAGATTAAAGTGGGTCGGGCGTCTCTTAAAATGAAAGTGGTCCAAGGAAGAGAAGCCTCCGAAAATGTCAGACAATTTATGTGTTTTAAATGCGAATGTATAAGATATCCTAAGCAGTATAGGTCTAGGCCTGCCGTTTGTTAAGCACGAAAACAGACATTTTTATTTTACTACTTCTTGACTAATTGTAATGCAGTTTATTTCAGCATCAATTGGTATTACAGTATTTTCTTTTTACAGAAACAGCCTTTTATGATCTATGTGAATGGGAAAGAGTTAACAGTATTATGACCGCGAATGTATAAGATATCCTAAGCAGTATAGGTCTAGGCCTGCCGTTTGTTAAGCACGAAAACAGTCATTTTTATTTTACTACTTCTTGACTAGTTGTAATGCAGTTTATTTCAGCATCAATTGGTATTACAGTATTTTCTTTTTACAGAAACAGCCTTTTATGATCTATGTGAATGGGAAAGAGTTAACAGTATTATAACGTAATATTTATGGCAGGAGATGTCTGGAGACTAGAGGAAAATAAAGGGAAAAAAGTATTGCAAATATACCGTTTTCAAATTATATATTGTTAAAATAAAAACGTATGTACAAAATATGTTAAAATGTGGTTTATTTATGTTTAAGATTGACTTTTTTATACCTAGTTTAAAATTATAATTATTAAGTAAAAACATGTATTCTAATGTATGGCAATCACAATTTTGTCGGAGCACTCCTGTTACCTCATTAATTTAGTTCCTACCTAATAAAATGCTTTCATACAGTTGGACCTTATATATCGCCAATCTTTAGTTCTAGTTTAATAATGGACCATCTTCGATTAAGGGTACTCTTCTCTCTCGTGTTATTAATGAATTTTCTTGTATTGATCGTTATTTCATTATCTATTTTTTATTTTAATTTGTATTTAAAAAATAATTGTTTAAATCAATGTATATTATGTGACAGTATCAAATATCTCTTATGTATTAATGATCTTGATAGTATTTATAATTTATTACCACCATTTTAATTGTATTGTCTTTGATGGTTTTTAATGCGCTGTTCTGTACATATTGCTTCTCCCTTGGGTGTTTTGTAGAAATAAATAAATAAATAAAAAAGATATGTTAAAGGGTATGGTTTATATATATTTAGGAGAGATAATTGTATAATTGTACCTAAAAATGCTAAAATTTCAACTAATTTCAAAACAATAACAATCGTAAAAAAAACCCATAAATAATAATTAAATCAAACACTCATCATCCTATCAAGAGCCTAATAATCTGAAACTGAAACGAATACAAAGTAAAATTTATTTAGAACACTACCGATTTTACTTTCGAAAAACATTGTAAATAAGCTAGCTTGTACATCGGCGTTCCATAGCGCGGCTGTGAACCGCGACCGAAATGCATAACAATAGGGCGCGACTGAAATGATCTGTATTCTTTAAGGCAGGCTCAGGTCGACACGCAACTCAACTCAACTCAACTCAACTCGTCGACATGAGCGCTCCGCGCAACTGAAAGGAACTGACCGCAACTGAAAGGAACTGACAGTCGCGCATATTTGTCAAGTTGAGTTGAGTTCCTTTCAGTTGCCCATGTTCAACTTTTTGCGGAACTGAAAAAAGCTCTAAAAAAATGCTGATTCGGAACTCAAAGGAACTGAAAACGTTGATCCTGATATTAATCGTAATCAAGATGCATTAACTGAAAAAAGATATTATATTACAATGTTTTGTTAATGGCAGATTACTTTATTCTTTGTTTAAAAAAAATATAGGCCATAGGCCAGATTTTTATTCTAACGCATTAACAAATAGGCCTAGGCTAGGCCCAATAATAATAATAATAATAATAATAATAATAATAATAATAATAATAACACATTAACAAATAGGCCTAGGCTAGGCCTAAATAATAATTACGAATTATTTCGTACCATTTTTACGAATTATAAATAATCCATTAATTCTTGAGAGTGTGCATTGTTTTTGAAGTAGTTTTGTACAAATTCTTTAACGGTAGAATATTTATCTAGGGCCTAGGCTTAGGCCTGGTCAAGAAAAGCTAAATTCCTTTTTCAGAAAGTCCCTCAGTGCAGTGTAGTGTTAAATTATGAACTCTATCAAAAGTATGCTGCTGCATTCGCGAATATTAAATAAATACATTTTTATAACATATTTGACAGCTGATTCATGTAAACATTGTCACGTATAAAATGCATTCGTGTATACTTTTTGTTAAGACCTTTCTTGTTTTAATTGTTCCATCAGATTTTGCATGTACCCATTTCAAATAGACCAATAGGCCTATGCGATACACTTTTCTAAATTTAAAAAAAAAAGAGTAGATAAACTTCAAAAATAATTTTAATATTTTTAACCACACTTCTAATCTTACAAGCATTCAAACATTTATTTGCAGTTGATGAAATTTCGGAGAAAATGAAATCTTTAATAACACAATTCTGTCGACTAATCAAAACAAAAAAATAAAGTAGATACACTTTTTAAAATAATTACATGTCTTAATAAAAACATTACAGACATTTTGCAGTTGATGGGATTTCGCGGGGAAAATGTTTTTAGCCAATAGTTCCTTTCAGTTGCCAGTCGACATGAGCCAATTGTTCCGTTCAGTTCCTTTCATTTCAGTTGCGCGGAGCGCTCATGTCGACGAGTTGAGTTGAGTTCCTTTCAGTTCCGTGTCGACCTGAGCCTGCCTTTACATCTTGGGGATTTGAAGACTTGGCTTATCAATATCAACAATTTTTACAATGCCTAATTAAACTACATACACCCCCCCTCCCAGGGGCGGATCTAGAGATGTCCAAAAGGGGGGGGGGGGCAGAAATTTGGGCCGATCGAGACAACAATGTCCTAGGGGGTCCGGGGGCATGCCCCCGCGGAATTTTTGTGTTCTAGACGCCCGAAAATAACATTTGAGGCGTTGTATGGGCTATCATTTTTTTCTTTTTCTTTCTTTTTTCCTTTTCCCCTATTAGGCAACAAGCTTATAGGACTTCTCCTAAGATGAGAGAGGGGATAAGGAGACAGTGCGACGAGTTATTGGATAAGGACATTATAGAGCCTAGTCATAGCCCTGTCTCTTATACACATCGCACTCCTGATTGTGGGGTCCCCAGATTGGTCCGTGGTGTTGACTTCTGCCAGCTCACCATCTGCTCTGAATCCAGGCTGTCAGCTCCAACAGTTGAGTCGCGTGTAGGAAATATCTGGAGGAAATAGGGAATCTATTCTATTTTTAGATATTAGTAATGGTCTAATTGAGTGTATAGGAATTCCCAAGATTGGTTGTTTTGAGGTTCATTCTGGTGGTACTGAGTGCCAGCAATGAGCTCGTATACTACAGTAGGCCTACTATAAAACTGAAGTTTTATACTCTTTGGTGCCAGGAACAATGCTTTCAATATAAGTTGCTACACAAGGTAGGCCATACTCTGTACATTATATAATATGTAACTTATTTTTTCACTCTTTTTAGCTATATCCACTGCAGGATTAAAGGCATAGCAGGCTGTAATTCTAAAATGGAGAGGCACGACAGAGCTTGTTGTTCCAGGGAGTTGTTATATTGGTACATAGGGAGGCCTCTCCTAACTACACTAGACCGGTACTAGGCTAGGCCCTTAGCTTTTGTATTCTGTGATGAATTTATGACCTGTTCCATACTCACCGTACACCACACCACCTATCTAAATGAGTGCGGTGCAAGGCCAAGAGGCTGGTAGGCCAGTACTGTAGTGGTTTCCCTCTGTTAGCACCTCTTGTCTTCGGCAGTGGCTAAAACCTGCTGTTTTCTGTTGGCACTACCACAGTGTGAAAAAGCTGCTGTTTTCTATCGGCACTGACACAGTGCGAAAAAAGCTGTTATTTTCTATCTATTATTGCAGCAGTGCTAAAAATGCTGTTTTCTATTGTCACTGCCGCAGTGCCAAAAAACTTTGGTCTTCTATCGGCTGCCAACTGTTGTTTAATCAAAATTGATGTTTTGATTGATAGATGAATGCATGAATATATGTATATATTATGTAGGCCATTATCATACAAAATATAATAAAGAAAAATAAATAATATTAAATAAATAAAATAATATATTTATAATAATAATAATAGTGCTCGAATAGGAAAATATGTCATCCATAATCATATATGTGATAAAGGCCCAGGCCTGCATCTTTGGCCCACTAATATTAAAATTAATTATAATCGTTTTTCAATTATTAAATATGTATGTATATATATATATAGACCATCATAAAAAAACCATCATATATTATATATATAATAAATCATCAAAGAAAGGTAAATACAGTGTTCTAATAAAGGACAATTTCATTAGAACATTGTATTTACCTTTCTTTGATGATTTATATATAATTTAACAGTGTTAACGGCTCTATATATATATATATATATATATATATATATATGGGTATATATATATATATAATTTTTATTATTTATATAATTATAAGCTAATTATTATGTTTATCTTTGCTATTTCCATGAACCGACAAATACGATGAGCGCGATTGAAAATTTACCACTTTTTGATGCCAATTTCTGACCTGAAAAAAATCGTAGCAGTATTCTTAATTAATATATATTGATAAATTGTAGTTATAGGTCACAATGTTTATATCAATCTATTAATTATTAATTAATTAATTAAGATATCAGGCCAGATTTTCGAAAGTTAAAAAAAAAAAAAAAGAAAGAAAAAGAAAAAAAAATCGCCTAAAACGCCACTGAGGTTATTTTCGGGCATCTAGAAAACAAAAATTTCACAGGGCTGATGCCCCCGGACCCCCTAGGGGAGTGTTGTTTCGATCAGCCCATTTCCGGTTCCCACTTTCAGGGCCCCTAATTAAGATCAAGGGCGTTGACCCGTGGTTGAAAGGGGGGGGGGGGGGGTGG